AGGAAGAGCTCTTAAAATTAAACTGCAAGGGCAGGAAAAAAATTTTAATTGAAAGTATTGAAAGGTTACGAGAATCTCCAGAAAGTAAAATAAAAAGTCAAAGTGATAAAAGTACAGAGATAAAGAAGAAAATTAAGGAATGAGTCCTATAGACTCAGTACTGGGTAACAGGAATTCCTGAAGTAGAGAAAAGAAATGGGAGGGGATAAAATTTCAAATATTTAAATAAGTAGAGAAAATATCCCAAACCTGAAGAACTAGAACTTCTGGATTGCAAGTATTTACCCAGTACCAGCTCAATAAATGAAAGAAGGACCATACTTAGTGGTTTGCATTTTTAGAAACGTGAGGAAAAGGAAAGGATCCTAAAAGTTTCCAGAGAAGAAACAGGTCATATCCAAAACATTAGGATTTATAATACTATCGAATTTCTATCTAGCAACTCTGGGTGCTAGAAGACAGTGGAGCATGGCCTTCAAATTTTTGGAGGGAAAAACATTTACTAACTTGAAATTCTATATTTGATTATGTATGTGGGTAAAAATATTCTATATGTTAAATATATAAATAAAGTAAGGACTTTCAGTCATTCAAGATCTCAAAAAATTCACTTCCTGTATACCTTTTATTAGGAAATCATTGGAGTCTGTGTTCCACCTAAATCAGGAATAAACCATAAAAGAGGGAGAAAATGGAAACAGATGCTCCAGTGAAGGGGAGAGAGCAAGGAATCCCAGAGATGCAGGGAAAGAGTCATCCCTGGCAAAGTGTCAGCTATTTAGCAGCCTAGAGAGCAAACAATCTCAGCTGGAACAGGAGAAAACCCCTGAGCAATGCCTCCAAGACCGGAGTGAAATTGATAGATTACCTGAAGTGTTTGCACTTATTTAAGAGGAGTCTCGGGCTTCCCTGGTGGCACAGTGGTTGAGAGTCCGCCTGCCGATGCAGGGGACACGGGTTCGTGCCCCGGTCCGGGAAGATCCCACATGCCGCGGAGTGGCTGGGCCCGTGAGCCATGGCCGCTGAGCCTGCGCGTCCAGAGCCTGTGCTCTGCAACGGAAGAGGCCACAACAGTGAGAGGCCCGTATACCACAAAAAAAAAAAAAAAAAAAAAAAAGAGGAGACTCACAGCTCTGTTGGAGGGTTTGAGGGTGAATTAGTGAAAAATACATAATAAATACCAAGCCAAAAAAATTGAAAGAAAGTATAAGAGGAAGTAGTAATTGTTAGTTCCAGGGAAAAGAAAAAATTGTACAAGAAAGGAAATTATTCCATATGATCCAGCTGTATATGTTTTTTACTGAGTAATAGCACTGCTAGCACTGAATATTGATTTGAACAAAAATTGTGACTTATATTGGGAGGATATTGGGATATATTGGGAGAAGGGAGGTACATATGTGTTGGTGGGAGGAGCAGCAGAAGAGCGTGCTCAGTGATGAGAACACAGAAGTAATGGGGGTGTAGTTTAGTCTTTAAAGAATTTGGATAGTAAAGGGAAGGGAAAAAACAGGAGGATAGTTGGAGAGGATCACAAGGCCAAAAATAATTTTTCAGAATGGAAGAGATTATAAAATATTTGTAGCTTGAGGAGTTGAATTTACTTGAAAGGGAGAAAGAAGGGTTCCTTAGATAGTGAGATCCCAGAGAAGGCAGTGTGGTGTAGGTCATGAGTTTGGAAACAAGTGGTGAGGTTAACCTTGCAGAGCAGTCGGTGGGGGGCAAATGGGCAATGACACAGAGGTTTGTGATATAGTCATGAGAGAAAAAAACGAGGGGCTTTTGGGACTTTGTGTGGGATAGCATTGTCATCTTCAGAAAGGAAAGACTTAGGGAGGATGCTTAGTGGATGGGTTTAGAGTCTTTGAGGAGATAGAAAAGGTACAGGATAAATGAGTGAGGAGTGTGGTGTAGTAGGTCAGTCATTCAGCCCAGTTCTTAGCACCTAGAAGGCATTTGGCAGTTGTGTTGAAAGAATGAACAACCAACCAGAAGGGCTGTGTTAGAGGCTGTGTTTGGCGGGGTGGGGGGAAGCAGGTGAACAAAGGATCATAGCTGCCGGCTAAGCCTTACAGAGCTACTGGGAAGGAGCACCTGGAAGGGAGGAGGAAGAAGTGCCAGGAGATATCAGAAAATGCTTCCTAAAAAAAGTAACTTTCAGCCAGTCTTTGAAGGTGAAATGGAAGTTCACCAGAAAGACAGGATGAAGATGGGCCTTCCAGGCAGAGGCGCTGAGTGTCAGCACTGAGTGGAAGTTAACTGGTATAATTTGTAAAGGAACCAGTTTTGTAACTTTCTCCAGCTCTGCACTCCAGGAGCTGAAGAGAAAAAGAGAAGGGTTTGGCAAGACAGGAATGTCCTAAGGACAAGTTGGTGGTGAGCAAATCTAGGACATTATGGAGGAAAGTCACTGAAATGCCTGCGGGTGAGCCTCTGAATGGACTCTGAGGAAAGAGAAGAACCACAGAACTAGACCTGACCATGAGGACTCCTTACAGATTCGAATGGAGGCAGGGAGTGGAAGAGGCACTTACGGTCAGAGGCGGATTTCAGAATTCATGGACCTCGGTGTGGAGCGGTCCAGATGGATGGCAAGGCCCAGCATCGGGTCCTGCCCGTCTCCTCCCTGAAGCAGGAAGGAGATGGATCTTCTGTCTAGAATGGGTCTAGAGTATCTGATGCCTTTAAACTGAGTTAAGTGCCCTTCCTTCCTTGTTTCATTGCATTCTCACACTGTATTGTAATTGACTAGTTTTTGTTTGTCTTTCCCACCAATCCATAAGTTTTTTGGGAGGCAAAGACTGTCTTCTTCCCCATTACCTCAGCACAGCACCTAGCATGTAATATGTACCCAATAAATAATTTGTTGAACGAATGAATCGTAGTGGGAGAAAGGTTAGGTTATGGTGTAAGTTTTATGAGTAAAAATACTGAAGCTCCTGAAAATGAGGTCAAGGGGGAGGAGTGGTGGGGATCATCAAATTAAGTCCAAAGTGTTCAAGACATTTGTAGAAAAGAGAAATTAAGATGCGAAGGGACTGGAAGTGGACTTGAGAAAAACAGGAAGTGGCAATAAGGAGCAGTGATCTTTCTGGACCATTTTTATTGCCTTCTGAGATGATGAAGAGTGAGAAAAGGTGAAGGAGGTAGTATCTTCTGGGGAAAAGCATTTTAATTAATACTTAAAAGAATGAGCAGAAATATGAAGTATATGTAAGGCAGAAGACCAGGGCTTCTAGGCAAGAAGGTACATTATATGTAAAGGCACAGAGGGGTGAGGAGTTGGTGTGTGCTCCACCAGGGGTTCAGAATGGGTGAGTGAGGCAGGGGTGATAAAAAAGATCACTTAGGCAAATGAACTGAAATTTTATCCCTCAAGACAGGTGATAGAGCGCCATTGAAGAATTTCAAGGAGAGTGATGTGATCATGTTCGCATTTTACAAAGTCCATTTGATGGAACTGGTTTGGAGGATGGATTGAAATGAGATGGGACCCAGAAGCACAAAGACTAGTGAGAAGGTTTTTGTAGTGGTGAGACTTAGAGAAGCTGGCTTTAACTATGGCAGTTAAAGAGGATGAAGAAGGGGTAATGGGTATGAGAGCTGTTTGAGAGGTAGAAGCCACTGTACTTGGTGATTAATAGGATGTGGGGTTAAGGAAGGAAGGTGGAGAACCTATAACCTTGACTGTAGGTTTCCTGTTTAAGGATCTTGGTGAAGATGGTACCATTTACAGAGATAGGGGATATAAAAAGGAGTGGAAATTTAAGGCCAAAGATGATGTTTCATTTTGGACCTATTGGGCCATCCAAGTGGAGACCCAAATATGCAAAATATGAGGGCTGCAGTTAAAGATTTGAAAGCCAGTATAGGGGAGGTTGTTGAAGCTGTGGGGTTTTTTTGTTTGTTTGTTTTTAATTTTTGGCTGCATTGGGTCTGCGTTGCTGCACACGGGCTTTCTCTAGTTGCGGCGAGTGGGGGCTACTCTTTGTTGCGGGGCACGGGCTTTTCATTGCGCTGGCTTCTCTTGTTGCAGAGCATGGGCTCTAGGCGCACGGGCTTTAGTAGTTACGGTGCATGGGCTCAGTAGTTGTGGCACGCGGGCTTAGTTGCTCCACGGCATGTGGGATCTTCCCAGACCAGGGCTCGAACCCATGTCCCCTGCATTGGCAGGCGTATTCTTAACCACTGAGCCACCAGGAAAGTCCCAAGCTGTAGGCTTTTTGATTATTATTTCTCATTATTGTGCTAATTAGAAATGGTTATAGATAAGACTTTTTAAAAATAAATTTATTTATTTTCAGCTGCAATGGGTCTTCGTTGCTGCGCGTGAGCTTTCTCTAGTTGCGGCGAGTGGGGGCTACTCTTTGTTGCGGTGCACAGGCTTCTCATTGCGGTGGCTTCTCTTGTTGTGGAGCACGGGCTCTAGGTGCATGGGCTTCAGTAGTTGTGGCATGTGGGCTCAGTAGCTGTGGCTCGTGGGCTCTAGAGCACAGGCTCAGTAGTTGTGGCACACGGGCTTAGTTGCTCCATGGCATGTGGAATCTTCCCGGACCAGGGCTCGAACCCGTGTCCCCTGCATTGGCAGGCAGATTCTTAACCACTGCACCACCAGGGAAGTCCCTAGATAAGCCTTTAAAAAAAAAAAAACAACTAGTAAGCAGAGGCTAAGTCCACAAAGTAGAGCTCTTTAACTGGGGAGGATTTTTAAAGGTCAAAAATCAAGAAATTTTCATAATATATGTAAGTGGGAGAATAGCCATTCTTGTCTTTGAGAAAATGATTCCAAGGAACTTTAATAACTTTAAACAATGTGTCATCTTTTTTTTTCTAATTAAGGCATAACATTTATTTGTAGCGTTAAGTGCTTAAAATGTACAGTTCAGTGATTTTTTTTTCCGCCTATGTGTACTTTCTTGTAACCACAACCCAGATCAAGATCATCTCCAGCTCCTCATAAAGTTCCCTTTGCAACATTATAACCATGTTTTTTCTTCTAGAGGTTTAGATCACTGTGTAAATTTAGGATGGAAGAATCCTCCCTCTCCTTGGCAAAATCTGGTAGGCTGCAGAATCAGGAAGTCCGTAGAGAAGAATAAAAGTCGAAACCTGGTTTGAATTTCACATTATGCAGTATGTGTCTTTTATTATTCTTGCTTACACTTCCTCCAGTTTCTCCTTTTAATGGAAATAAAGTAAACCTCTCGATTTTTCTGTTCTTTTTGAAACGTAGCCTCTTGATACTATTCCATCTTCTCCAGTATTTCTGAGAAATGAAGACTGCAGAGGGTTGCAGAGCTGGAAAGCCTTTTGTTTTATTTGGGTTTCATTATGGTGTGTATCTATGTTACTGTTGTCTGTCTTCCAGATTACTAGGTTCTATAAGAAATGGACGGTATTTTTCTAAGTAGGGAATAATCCTTGAATACATCTGTTGATATCTATCTCCTTGAATACTTCTGTTTGACATTTTAAAATTATGCCTTTTGGGGAAGTTTTTATAGGACTGATAGTCCCAGTTTGTGGAGGTAGCTCTATCTCTGTACTTATCTTCCTTTATTGATCAGTAAACCATCTGGAATAGTAAAATGCTTTCTTTTTTCTTTGAAAATTTGTATTGAGAAATAAAACATACATATAAAAGAGAAAAGAAATACATACAGTTAAAAGAATAATTATAAAATAAATGCCCATATACCTACTACATAGGCCAAGAAATAGAATTTAACCATACCCCAGAAACCACCATGTGTCCCTTCCTGATCGAATCCCTCTTGCCCGACTCCCTAAGGTACTAATTAGCCTAAATTTTGTAATAGTTATTCCCTTTTCTTTATAGTTTTATAAACCATAAATATACATATATGTCTACATATACATATATATGGCTTAAAAATGTATATATTGGAATTTTATATTAATGGATTTAAACTGCATATGTATTCTTTTGTGACTTGCTGCTTTCACCTAGTGTTGTGTTTTTGTAACTCATCCAGGTTGAGGTGTGTTTCTGTAGTTCATTCATTTTCATGCAGTATAATATTCTATTGTCTTAAAACACTGTAGCCTATTTATCTACTTTATTGTTGATGAATGTTTGGGGGTTTTTTCCTGTTAAAAATAATGCTCCAAAAAACATTTTTGTATATGTGCAGAAGTTTCTCTAGGGTATGTACCTAGAAGTGCAACCACTGGTTTGTACAGTAAGTACATAGTCAAGTGTACTAGATAAGGGCAAACTTTTTAAAAGTAGTGGTACCAATTTTCCCTCCCACTGGGAATGGATGAGAGTTGCTGTTGCTCTGCACCCTTGTCAACACTTGGTATTGCCCAACTTTTAAATTTTAGCCAGCCTGGTGGTTGTGAAATGGTATCTCTTTGTGTTTTTAATTTGCATTTTGCTGATTGACAGGAGATTGAACATCTTTTCATAAGCTTAGGGCCATTTATGCGTCCCCTTCAGTGAAATTCCTACTCAATAATTTTGTAAATTTTTCTGGTAGGTTGTCTTCTTCTTACTGATTCATAGCAATTCTTTATTATATTCTGGATGCTAATCTTTTGTCACAATTATGAATTGTAAATCAGCATGCTTCCTTTTTTATTCTGCAAATCTGGTCACCCAAGCAGAGATTCCATAAGCAAACCTGGAGAGTGAAAACCACTGGCTGAGGCTTCTGTCCTAGGCAGTATAGTGAAATGCCATGCTGTTCTGTAAGCACAGGCCCTGGCACTTTGGAGTGATTGCATCTTAGTTACTGACTACTGCTGACTTGTGGTACTTGCCTTTGCAGGTGGAACAGGAGGATTTTGTAATGGAAGGGCATGGCAAGACTCCACCTCCTGGTGAAGAAAGCAAACAGTGAGTTACAGTTTATTTTAAAAGGGTCTTATTACAGATCTTCAGAAACACTGGTTAAACATGCTGAGAGCATGTTTGCAAGGGATGTATATGTTGGGCACATTGTGGAACTCACGAATTGCTTTGGTGGCTGTTAATGCATTGCTTCTATTTATAGACAGACTAACTGGAGGGACAAGAAAGTTGGCTTTGTAGTTTTTCACACTTGACTAATCAAAATTTATGTCACGCTTTAGCAAAGGCTTTAAGGCTTAGGATGTTCCAAACTGAACTAACTCAGTCTGGTTGATTTCCAAAGACAGCGTAAAATGGTATATCCTTTTCTTAGCAATGTCTTTATGAAGCGAACTTAATTAATAGACTGTTTTCCTGCATTCCAGGTGTGAATTTATTTGAATAATACTTCCTGAAATTCTATTCCATTAGTTACTTATACTTCTGATCTTTGTTTAAATAGCAAATTGTTTCCCCAAAGGAACAGGAATTATAAATAATATAACTTAGCCAACATTCTAAATAATTGAGGATGTCTCCTCTAACTTCTTTTTTTTATTTTTTTATAAATTTATTTTTATTTTATTTATTTTATTTTTGGCTGTGTTGGGTCTTCATTGCTGCGTGGGCTTTTCTCTGGTTGCGGCGAGCAGGGGCTACAGTTTGTTTTTTTTTAATTTATTTATTTATGGCTGTGTTGTGTCTTCGCTGCTGTGCACGGGCTTTCTCTAGTTGTGGTGAGCGGAGGCTACTCTTCATTGTAGTGCGCAGGCTTCTCATTGTCGTGGCTTCTCGTTGTGGAGCACGGGCTCTAGGCGCGCAGGCTTCAGTGGTTGTGGCATGTGGGCTCAGTAGTTGTGGCTCCTGGGCTCTAGAGCGCAGGCTCAGTAGTTGTGGCGCACAGGCTTAGTTGCTCTGTGGCATGTGGGATCTTCCCAGACCAGGGCTTGAACCCGTGTCCCCTGCATTGGCAGGTGGGTTTTTAGCCACTGTGCCACCAGGGAAGCCTGGGGGCTACTCTTCATTGTGGTGCGTGGGCTTCTCTCGTTGTGGAGCACAGGCTCTAGGTGCGCGGGCTTCAGTAGTTGTGGCACGTGGGCTCAGTAGTTGTGGCTCATGGACTCTAGAGCGCAGGCTCAGTAGTTGTGGCGCATGGGCTTAGTTGCTCTGCGGCATGTGGGATCTTCCCGGGCCAGGGATCGAACCTGTGTCCCCTGCATTGGCAAGCGGATTCTTAACCACTGCGCCACCAGGGAAGCCTCTCCTCTAACTTCTCAAGGAGTGATAAGTTTTAAATCTGAAATTGAGAGTCCTCTAGGTAGCTTTTGTGTGGCAGTGAGTAGATTTTTTCCTCCCTCTGTCACAGAACTTGAAAAATTATGTTGCAGAGCAGAGTGGTGTTTCATATGCCCTTTTAAAGGAAAAACAGTTAAGACTGGCTTAAAGTACTGACATAACTGCTATTTTTTATTCAGACAGTAGTCTTCTAAGTTGAATGGGACAGTGATTCATGGAATTTACCGAAAATCTGTAGAGAGAAACTCTTTTCTCTCATCTTTTTTTTTTCCCTAGAAAATAATTTAGTTTTGGTCTGTCTTATGAAAATTATGTCTCTGAAACCCTTAGGAATGAATTATGCAGAATATGCTATGCTGCCCTGAGGCCAGGTTCATTAAAATAGAATGTTTGTCTTGTATTTGTTGTGAATGGAAACCAGGATATTTTCACAGCTGGTTTAATTTGCTAACCAGGCAGTTTTAAAAATAGCTCACAATATAAATCCTAACTTTGCTGTATTCTGTCAAATGCACTTATATTCTGCATGGGCGGATGGAATCAATTCATCTTTAGCAAGTTAGAAAGCCAAACAACTAGTCCCAGTAGAGGGAACTAGGGACACTTCGGTTGCCCTGCCCCCTTATCCACTCCTGCCTCCCAGACTCAGGTCAAAGGTATTATAATATAAAAATCATAGCTCCAATTTGACGAGGGTTTTCTGTGCATTGAGAACTTTGCTTAAGGTGCTGTGTGTGTTATTTCCAACCCTTACAGTGTCTCCACTTCAGATATTGGGGTCGGTAACTTGCCCATGGTAATGCAGCTTGAAACGGAAGTTAGGATTTGAACTGGATCTTTCTGACTTTAAAGTGTTTTATAATATCTCTTGAATGCAAATTCTTTGCCAACCTTGGGATCTATGTTCCTGAAAAGTATTGTGGCTAGCAAAATTGCAGCTGTCAAGATCAAAGTCTCACGGCTAAGAGTGAGTTGGGGGAAACAGTGAAAATGGCATAAAGCCTATTTTTAAAACACAGATGAAGGTTCTATTCTCTGAAGGGTATCCATTTCCCAAACAAACCAGTCTTTATCTTTAAAAACCTGCTCCAGTAACCCCTATCCTGAATCAGCTTCTTTAGGTATTCAGGAAACATTGCTGGGATAGATTCTCCCACAAGTTTTATGTTATACAAACTGTACTTCTTTTAGAGAACTTAAAACAGCCCCAGCAGGCTTGAAACGTCATGGGGAATGGGGAACATACCATCTCCCTTGATTGTTTTGTTTTCACAAATCTCTGACTTTTCACAGATGAATCTTGTTTTATTTTGTTTTGTTTTTTTGTGGGAAGGGGTTGTTTGTTTTTTTCTGGGCTTGGTCTGCTATCATATATTGAAATGATAAAGCAGAAGTGAATCTTCTCTCTGGGGCTTCCTCCAATAGACCTGCCCTCCTCTTCTGTGGGAGTGGGGGGAGCAAAGGTGCTGTGTTCTTTTGTTTGAGGCAACAGAAATAAAAAGAGTGAACAAAATTTTTATTTTTTGTATCTCAGAACTGCAGTTAGCAAAGGATGATTGAATCCTGGATAGTAGGATCTAGGAACTGAATACGACATTCTAGATCCTGTGAGTGACATATTGCTGAATAACTTATGAAATTCCCATCCATTCTTTTTTTTTTTTTAATTATAAAAGTAACACATGGTTGTCATAAAATATTCAAACAGTAAGTGTGGATTTAGAAATAAAAATGAGACTCTTCTTTTACCCTCCTTCCCTTTCTCATCTTCTTAAACATTTTCTGTATATTTAGAAAAAACAACTAAATAGATTTTTTTCCTAATATAATTCTTCTGAGACTTGCTTGTTTCATCTGACATCTTTTGCAGTCTATTTCATTCTTTTAAACATCTGCAAAACATTCTGTTGAACTGATGTACTGTAGCCATTCTTCTCTAATAAATATTTTGGTGGCCTTCGCTTCTTTGATTATTACAAATAATACTTTATTGAACATCCTTATTCTTATATCTTTATACACAGGTGTATTTCTGTAGAATAGATGTCTAGACATGGAGCTGTTTGGCTCATGGTCATGTTTATTTTTTTACAAGGAGGTAACTGCTATCAAATTACCTTTCAAAAGAGCTATACCAATGTTCATTTCCATCAGCAGTGAATGAGAGTGCCCATTCCTCCACACCTTTGATGACAATAAAATTATTTATCTTTGAATTTTTGCCCCTCTAATATTTTATTGTTTTAATTTACACTTTTATGCTTACTAATAAGATGGAATGTCTTTTGTTCGTTTATTGGCCGTTGATTTTTATTTCGTGTACCACCCTATTTACCTACAATTCCCATTTTTCTTTTGGATTGTTTGTTTTGATAGTTTTGTAGGAGCCCTTTACAAAGTGTAGATATTAACCTTTGTCTTTTGAGATGTTCTGAATATTTTCTCCCAGCGTTATCTTTTAACATTGGGGTATCTGTCATACTAATAAAGCATTTACATTTTTATGTAGTAAAATCAGCCTTTATGGCTTCTATGTTTTGTGCTTTCCTAAAGAAGTCTTTCCTACCCTAACATGATGAAATGTCCTGAGTTTTTCTGCTGTATTTTTCGCTTTTATACCTTTAATTGAACTGGTACTCATTTTTGTGTATGGTATGAGGCAGAGATCTAGCTTAATTTTCTTCTGAATTGGTTTCCAAAATGGCTCTCATTCATTGGTATTAGCTTGTACGAAGAGCCTTTTTCACTTAGGGAGGCAGGTGGAGCACAGGGATTATATAACTCGCTCACGGTCACAAAGCAAATTCTAGTAAGGATCAGGTCTAAAATTATTTCTGTTAGCTGATCTGTGCCACTTTCCTTGTTTCTTCATTTAACATTTTTACCATAGGTTCTGGAAGTCTTGAAAAAATTATTTTATTTCTGTGATGTTTATTCCAATGGAATAAGTTCTATTAATAGGTAGATTAAGGTAGCTATGCATGTAGAAAGCTTCTTGAAAACATAATTGCATTTTGATATTGAAAAATATTTGTGCTGAGTTGTTAATATTTAGATCAGTTGTGCTGATTTCTGGTGTACATGTGAATAAGATTTAGTAGAATGTATAGCTTTAAACATTTGTCTATATATATTGTCTCAATATTATTGCTTTTTATGAGGCTTATTTACTATTAGTGTATCTAATATAATCATTTTTCTGAGGATATTCACTTTATGAGCTATTGCAGCAAATCAGACAAACCAAGGTTATTGCCATATGATTACTACACTAAACTCACACAGTATTAATCACATGATGTGTTTGACACAGGGGTAAATATAAAACTATTACAGCTTTTTAAAACACAACACGAGCAGATACTTGCTCATAGATTGTGTTTGATCATGCTTATTGAAAGCTCATTCCAGATAAAATGTTTCTACCCAGGCAGGATTTTGATTTGGTTTTATTTATGATACAAGTGGTGGTCTAGTTATTTGTGGGCATATCATTTATTGTAATTTTTTTTTTTGAGATAAACCCACGCACATATGGTCACCTATCTTGTAAATTATTTGGAAGTTAGATATCAGTTTTGGTATATTAACAAGATGAGTTTGGCCTCTTTTTCATTTCCTCCTTTAAAAAAATTTTAATATAGCTTATAAACAAATCTAAGCTTTAAATCTCCATGCTGAAATTCACTCATATTCTCAAAAGATATTTG